TATGTATAATTATATTTCCGCGTTGGATCGTGTTTCGGCACATTCGCTGTACTCGCTGATATTGTAAGGTAGGTAGCACAGGAATATTATAAAGAGATGATAAAACGAAAGGTAAAGTCAGTGGGGTGAAAGGCAAGCACTAAAAAGAAGGTAAGCTTGTTTATATTCCAAATAGCCCTCATTGAGCGGCATGCGGCCTGCGAAACTTCTGAACACAGAAATGGAAGAAACAAAGAAGTGCATGAGAGGAATTAATCTCATACTTGCTTATAAACGTGATAGTCATGAAGCTTCAAGCATGCTGATGGAGCGAGTAAAAGTTCATGAGAGTAAAAATACAAGTTAGAGTTTCGTATGCATTTAAAATCCAAAAGCCAGATCTCAGCCATTCAGAAGACGATTCTATAGATACTGGACAATGAACATCTAGAAAATTTTGTTCAAAAATATGCAGTACAGTGTACTACCGATTCAAAGCCCAATTTGGGAGCACATGATTATCTATTTCTTAATGAGAATACGACAGGAGTCTTGTAAAGCCTCTATCATGAAGTGCACCTTTTTGCAACCAGATTTGCTTATATGCGGAGGAACGAATACTGTTTTACAAAGATACTGCTTACCTGACTTCAAAACCTGTCTGAAGTAAAGCTAATGACCTCAAGCCAATAACTTGCATGTCGAGCCTTTACAAGCTAACAACAAAATGTGGGGCACAAATCATGCAATTGGATGCTGCTAAGAGGAGACAGACTACTTGCATCAACCAGTAGAAACAGTTGTCCAGATTCAAGGTGCGAAGATGCAAGCACTGTTGAACCTGGTATAGAAAACAATATACACAACGTGGTATGACTGTAAAAATGCGTTCGCTTCAGTCACTTACAACTATATGATCAAGTACACGGAAAAGTTCTGTAGATTTAGAACTTTCTGAGAAGCATTACCTGAAGATGGGCATTTGCACTTAAAAGCAATGGAGAAACCATAATGAAGAAGAAAATAGAATGTGATGATAGCCCTTTTCCGCTGCTATTCGTCTTGTGTACGGACCCGCTGATATGAGGTAAGCAAAGATGGCGGTTGCAACCGTGTGCTGTCAAGGTATGTATCTTTTCAACTGCTGAAGACATCATGAAATTTATGACCAGAGAAGTCCAAACGTTCTTTGAAATAGTACGGTTAGAGGTGAATCCATCAAAGTCAGCCAACAATACTGATTTATGCGTTGATAAAGAGGAGCTCTTGGAAGAAACTTAAAGAGTATAAATACCTTGAAATAATAGAAGACAGGACCAGCGATCCGACCCGTGAAAGCTACCATAAATCTGAGTAGAGATTTTAATGAGAATTGAGTTGTTAACCAAAACTGCACTAAAATGGCAAAAACTTTATCAAGGTGGTGAATGAGCACGCTATAAGTTTAATGAAGTATTACACTGAGATGCTCAAATTGGAACCAGAAGACTTCAAAGCAATAGAACACGATATCAGATAATTACTAAACAAATACGGAATTCATAATATACAGAATTCATAATCAAGATGTGTGTTTAGAGAGTTTATACCAGCCAAGGGACAAACTAAGACGTAGGCTAAATAATTTTGAACAAAGAAGTGAGCTTTATGCTTCTTCAACTTCTTAATGCGGTAACATATATATATCCAGCAGAAGGAGCGCTCTTGTATAGCAAAACAGAAAAGAAAATCCTTAATGCAAAGCTATAGATGAGGAGAGATAAGCTGGGTCAATGACTGATATCGATATAACTACGATATAAAAACATTGCCCTAGGAATGAAGCTCAGTACTGTAATTCCCAAGATCATAAATATGTTAGCAGATGATAAAAAATGTGAGCCTAGATTGTAGGAAACATGTGAAAAGAGTGGACCATTCAGCAACACAGTGGGAGAAAATACTGGTTCATGACTATAATAGAGGATATAATAAAGTGCTGAGGTGCATCCATTTGGAACCCAGGAAAGAGTACGATGTGAAAGGATTCTCACGCATTTGGAGCCATTCCTTTCAGAAAATCATGGCTAATAAGAACGTAGAAATCAAACTTGATACTTAAGAACTCGGATTAGAAGAAGGGTGGATCTACCAGACATCCTGGTGTATGATAAGAAGCGACAAGAAGTATTCCTTTGGTATCACTGGTCAGGACAGGTTGATAGCAGTCGAGACCGAGAAGAAGTGGAAGTATGATTTACTGGCTAATAAACTAGTGGCAGAGATGAATTGCACAATGCAAATAATTCCATATTTTATATCTGGGGATAGGATAGTAACAAACTTCCATAAATGCCAGCAGTATATTCCATCGTTTAGAGGCATATTTCCAATCGATAATACTCAAGAAGATGCTCGCAAGCATCTCATTTGATCATAGCTATGTCCACGAGAGATCAGCACAACAAGCAGCAGTAATCAGCACAACAAGCAGCAGTGATCAGCACAACAAGCAGCGGTGATCAGCACAATAAAACTGAGCGCGAAACGAGTATAGTCGGAGTGCTGGAATACGATCCAGCGCCAGAATCAATAATGTAGAAAACAAGATTAATCTCCATGTAATATATAACTACCACATGGAGGTTAATCTGTCATATTATCAAAAAGTGTAGAAAAATCAAAAAAGTGATCAAAAAGTGTAGAAATCAAAAATCAAAAAGTGTAGAAAGCAAAACAAGACTGTTTTTCTTGGCTAAATGTATTCTCATTCAAAAGAATTTCTAAATATATGGAAAACTCCAAAATGTATTAATTTATATTCTTGAATTTTCCATAGATTGATAGATGAAGTGCATCTGAAAAAAGAATTCTTTTGCATGCTTAGCTGATCTATTTCCTTATTTCCCATTTTTTGCTTTCAAAACATATTGATAAGCACCAAAGATAAAGGTTCAGAATGATTAAAATCCACAGCATGAATTTACCATCTAAGTTGCTTTCCACATTCTTGTCTAGTAGCAACATCAAGATTCAATGTTCCCCAATATTTGGCCTCCGCAGCATCTTTAAAGTTTTGTACGTTTTGATTTTCAAAAAGGCAGTCACGCAGTACCATGGCAAGATGAAAAACACCACCAATAGGGCCTAGCGCTTTGCACTGTAGCATCAACTCCTGAGCATCTGATAGCTTCGAGATATTAAGAGTTGAAACAAGGACTGAAATACCCGTTCGACGCCAAAAATGAACACAACGTGCTTGATAACCAGTACGAATCCCTGTTCGCGACGTCAGCACTAATCTGTAATAGAGAATAGAATGTGTGGATTTGCACTTTGCTTATTATTAACTGCATAAAAGTAAACAATTATTTTTATTAACTTTTTAAGAGCATGATCGATAAGATTTATCGTCACCCATCACTTTTAAGCGATTAAAATTTGCTTCTGTTCGTAAATATTAAGAAACTGAACTTCTGTAAAAATATAGGGAGCACAGTACTTTTCGAATACAGTATGAGTCATGACTGTTTCATTAAAAATGAGGAAAAAATAACTTATTTCACGACCTACTTTTTAGCGCCTCTATTAATAAGCCACTGCGATAGTTCCAAACCAAATCCGCCAAGGCCACCAGTGATGAGATATACATGATTTGGATGACATAAAGTTCGGCAAATAGCTCGCACTTTTATCGGAGAAGGTACGCACAATCGTTCGGGTTCCTCTTGTCGGATTTCCATTAAAACCTGAAATACTGGTAGTAACTTGGGTATATGTCAAATTTCAATCATAAAAGCATAAAATCTGTATGAAGTTTTGTTTGCATTTTGAAAAATTTTGCAAAATTTAAGCAATTGATAAGATAAAAACAGTGATAGTAGAAAATTCTAAATTTTACTTGTAAATCTTGTAAATCTTTTCTCTTCTGATTTACTACATTCCATAACAAAGTCAATGAACTTGTCCACCTTCAATTTATTCTTTTATTCAAATTGAATTTAATCGCGGCCGATCAATAATATCTGAAGTGCAATCTAAGGTGTGAAAATGCGGTATCAAACCTTTCCAATATGTTTCCCGGATGACATGAAACGAAATGCTTCCTCAGCTTTTTGGCTAGAAAACGCAGTGTATGAAAGAGGCTGTACAATTTCGTTTTTAATTCCTTCCTGAACAAGTCGTGCTACTTCCTAAAACTGGAAAGATGTAGGACTCAAAAACTGAATGATTTTTTTGCATGCAGGTTTATTTGAGATATCCTTTAAATATGAACAAATCTCGATTATTAATCTGCATAAAGAATTTCTCATTCTAACTTACAAACCTGCCAGTCCTCCTTTTTGCCAATACTTGGATCCATTACTGCATCCAGCAGTATACCATGGAAAGTTATATTTTTGAGGAATACCGCCATCCCAAGTGGCGAATTTTGAGATAAATCTACTTTTCCTATTTCCAAAAATCGTCCATTTTGAGCAAGACATCGAATAGAAGCCTGAAATTGCAATGCTTTTTGATAGTAAAAGCATAATAATCGATGATTTTGTTTTCTGCAATTTGATTATGATATTTTGTAAACTATCCTATCTTTTAACAAAAATATTATTCACTATGGTAAAATGAGAATCTCAATCTTTTGAATTAAATGCCGCAAATAAATTGATGTGATTATACTTGTAGCATATGCTGAGCCAAAGAATTGAGGACAACATCAACTCCACGTCCTTTTGTTTGATGTCTAATATGAAGCTCAAAATCTGAGTTTCGAGAATTCGCGAAATGCTCATTTTTCAACTGTGGAAAACTGTAATGAGAAAGTGGATGGCTGTAGACAAATTTAAGCTTTAGCTGAATAAAAGTCACAATTTTTTAAAGTTATTGCAATAGAAGTAAATAAATAAAAGATTAAACGTTCAAATCAGTTACCGCTTTTGCAAGAATGCTTTTTTATCTGCATTTCCAACTGTGACGTAAACTTCACAGCCGCGTGATAAAGCAACTGCTATGGCGGCTTGACCGACTCCTCCAGAACCTCCGTGAATTAACACCTCAACATAAATTTACTAATTATATATAGTCCGAAATGAGTACTTTTGAGCAGTTTTGAACACAGTAATACATTTATTATGACTTGTTAACTCGAAAAAATGTGTTGAAATACCTAAAACAAAATTATACAATTGTGCATTTCATGCACATACTGTGTATTTTTTTATTCAAAATCACGATTGCATCTTTATTTCTTCAAACCCCAAGTGAAACTAATAATTTTCAAATAAACCTTTGCAAAAGTTGCATTTATAGAATTTTAAACTCACTTTGTCATCACGTCGAATTCCACCACGCATTACTAATGCGTAATATGCAGTACTGTAGACTATGGGAACGGTGGCAGCATCCGCAAGTGACCAGTTATCCGGAACTGTCCAAGCATACTCACGATTAACAATAACAGAAGTTGCTAAAGCTTGTGCTGGTAAGATGCCCATTAAACGAGTACCATCTTTAAGGCGTCCAGAAAATTCCATACCCAGTAAGCATTCTCGATCCGCAAACTAATCAAGTGTATTTACGAAAACCAAAAATTGGTTAATTGCAAGTCATGACCAGAAAAATGCAGAAAATTTAAAAAAGGCAGATATCAAAAATTTAAGCTTCATTCAAACATGGTTTGAAATTTGCGTAAATTTCTCCTGTCATTAAAATATAGAAGCAAGGAACTGACTAGTATTTAAAAAAACTATAATGACGAATTTTTCCTCAATTATTAAATTTTTCAGGTTTGGAAAAGTTTAAAATTTTCATTACTGGATTATTTAAGTTTACACCCGTTTAGATTGATAGAATCATGAATAATTTATTTATTGGGACTAACTAAAAAAAGAAATTCAATAAATATGTTCACTGAAGAGTTGGTGTTTGGACTGTATTACCTGTCCAGGAATAGCGTCTGGTGGAAGCCGTCCATATGCTAACATCACATCACGAAAATTTATAGCAGAATAGTATACATGACACAGTTCCAGCGAAGAATCTTTTTGATGCGTGTCTTCAAAGAACTGATTTGGAGATTCAAACCAAGTCAATGAACTGACATCACCACGGATGAGCGTATTGATGAATGCGTGGTTAACACTTTTGTACAAATGCATTTCATCTAAAATAAAGTGAACACTTGTTTAAAATTATTTACATTTTTTCAAAACTTTCATTTCTTGATGAATATAAAGAAATGTGTTTTTTCCTGTATTTTTGCATAAAAATTTTCGATTTAGTTCACTTTGAGCTTATTTCTCGAGCACTAGAATCATTAGCATTTCGGATTCAAACGTAAGAGACTTCCAATTTTCACCTTAAACTGTTTTTTTATCAGTGAAATAGTTTAAAAATAATTCTATAACTTACCTTCTTTCACAACCAAATGACGCAAAGAACCCCAAACACCATCGCGATAGTTATTAGCATGAAGATCAAGTTCCATAAGATGTCTCACGAATTCATCTTCCAGGTTGATCTGAGGTGGACCACTGCGATTTTCTGGTTTAATGCTCATATCAATTAAAGTTCGGAATCGATTCGACTTTAAGTTTTCTTCACTGAAGATATTTTCATCTGATCCGAACTCAAGAGTTTTCAAATACATTGCAAAGTATAAGAAATATATTTCGAGAGTCTTAAACTGTGCAGTTATACGTTTTTATATAAAAAGTACTAATTATTATTTTCCAGTGGCCATTTACTTTATTCAAGAGGGTAACTTTGTTATTTTGCAATTGTTCTTCATGAACATATTTGAAAGCTCAGCCACTTATCTCAGAATATAGAAATTAGTGAAAACATGTATCCAGAGAGAAATGGAAGTTTCTATCATCTGAAGGGAAAAGACTTTCCATGTCCATGTTCTGCTTTCTATATCTTTTCCACCTGACATTTTATATGGTGACTACTTGTCAATTAAAAAGGTCAATCTACATTTACCAAAAATATGTCTACTTACAATAGAGCTTTTCAAAACTCGTAGATTTCCTACTTTTTTTGCCTTTGTTCAATTTACTTTTACGCTTTGTTTCTTTAGATATTTGACGTCATGATTATTTAGCAACCAGAGTTCCAGAAATAATAAAATTACATTAGTTATGAAGTTTATAATGAAATTATATTCTTAAGCTGATATTTACTAGTGATTTGCAAGTTATTCTAAAAGGTATGTAATTTAGTACTGACTTGCTTTACCATTGCCTTTTAAGAAATAAACTTAATATAACACTATCTAGTCTATCTTTTCACTTACGTAATAATAATTAACAACACTCATGGCTTGCTTACTTGAAACAAAGGGCAAGGCCTAGCAATCCATTATTGCGTACTTTTGTGCTTGTGAGCCATATTGTTTTATAGTCTGGCTCATTAAGACGTTCTTCAATTATCTTTTGCAACGGTTCTATCCAGGTAAATTCTTTGATGTCATCTGTATCAACGAACACAGGCTCCCTAATTTGTGACGGAATTTTGCGAATTGCATACATTGTAGTCATCATCGATGAATCAGTCTAAAAATTTCAAATAGTTTTTCAATGCAGCAGTCTTTTTTAGCTTTTAAAGTAAACGAAGCAAAAATACTTTATATTTACATAAAATACCTGATAATTACAAAGACGGAACCCGCATTTATCAAACAATTCTAACAAATGTTCGTGAGTGAAATAAGATCCGTAAATTCGATCGAAATTACTAATATTTATTGGCTCTCCACTGAGGCCTTGAATTGCGAGAGCTATCTCATAATCTGATGTTGGTTCAATTATAGTGATAAAGCCATCATCACGCAACAATTCCTTACATTTCAGCAAATACTGGATGACATCCATCTTTCTAAAATGCTGCACAGTAATGGATAGCAGTGTCGTATAACGCAGTACTTATCAACCTTACATCGATAAATCTATTTGTATCAGTTTAGAAACAATAATTTGTAATAAATTACTATAGTTTGCAAAGTTCATTCCTCACTATCAGTGCGTTTATTATTCATATTTTCATTAACAATACTTTTAGCATGTAATTACACTTTATTGAAATATTAATTTAAAAACGCAATTGCAGTGCATGCATACTGCAAAAATTTAACTGCACATTAAAACTGAAATACAATTTGTAGTCGAGCTACACTTAGCATCACTAGTTATAGTTATCATGTGATCGAAATTTCTTTCTTTATCATTGTATCAAGACTATGAAACACTGGCATTTCTGAAACTCACCTTGATAATACTTTATCCAAAATTACGAGATCGCAGTTTTTGATTTCAGAAGGTGGTGAAAAGTGCTTATCTTCCAAATTAGTTAGTACTTTTTTTACTCCAAGTTGTACTAAAGTATTTTCATCCATATCATTTACTTTTGGTCCAGCACAAAACCATTCAACTTCCAAAAGTGGATGTGAGCTTACCGAGTCAACACAGAATTTAAGCTGTTCGGTCGAATTAAATTCGAGGGCACAAATTTTGCTATTATGCCCAACTGAATTTTCAATGCATACGTCCTGAAAAAGTCTTTGATCCGAATTTATATTTTCGTACATTATGTGATATGATTCATGAAGCAGGGTGCTTATACCTGAACTGTTTTAAGAATTCTGTCATAGACAAAAGCAGCACTCCATAAACGATCCATACTAAAAATTTTCATTGTATTTTGCATTTTTTCTGCCACTTTATTCTCGAACTCTTTGAAATCATCATTAATTTTCATTGCAAAAACTTCATCAAAAATTGTGGCAACAGGTGACCTAAAATGAAAGCCAGTGTTGGAGACTAATCTATAATCTTTCAGTGAAATTTCCTGTAATGTTGTGCATTCAAAGCAAAGAAATAAAATCAGATTAAAAGTTGAAACGCACTGTGAATCATCAAGCCATCGTTTGTGCTCTGTTTCACTTACTGGATTCATGAATTCTGTAAATTTACGAACAGCATCTGACAGAAGTGCTCCATTAGTTAGTTTTTTTAAACAACCATTAACTTCCCATTTTGCTAATCCATTAGCTAATATTGAGCGAAGGAAATGTCGATAGGCACTGAGTTTTTCACGGATTTGTGGAAATTCATCAAAAGCGCTGCAAAAATAACTATTTTTCTCCGGCAATAGCTGTCTGTTGAATAGATCAGTGCAAATGATTAGCAGACATTTTTTTTAAGTGAAAAGTAAAAGAATTGAAACCCGAGTAAAAATCGAAGAATGATATCTTTCAGCATTGTGAATATTTTAAGTATATAAACAATCACTGGAAAATTGCTTTGAGAACAATACTTTTCAATTCAAACGAAATTCCAAGTAAATCGTGAAATGATACACAAATATTTGTTTAATTTGTATAAAAGCGTTTACTGTTACACAGTGAGACTTTTAATGCAATAAAAATTACGTCATATTTCGCTCATTATCTTAATTCCAACAAAAGTTTTTTAGAAGTCTTCAAAAGCTCACTTTTGATCAAAATGTTTCGTGAAATAAACTTTCTCATAATAGAGTTGTCCAGCAGATTGTAATCTTCGAGCAACCGTATGTGCCGTGAGATCACAGCATTCAACACCGCCTGCTACACAACCATTAGTAGCGATATCATTGCGTAATTCAATGACTTGAATGCCATCTGCAAAACAATTTTTAGAAACAAGAAATAAATATGAGGCAGTAGTGCTACGTATTTTCCATTTCTACTTAGAATTAACAAATATAAAACAATAAACAAAAATACTTCTCGAATGATTAAAAAAATCACCTTTTTCTTGTACACGCTCCAAATGTTTTACAGGATCGATTCGTAAGTATCGTACACGAGTGGGCAATCGAAGACTATCAGCTCGTTCAGCCAATAAGGCTGTTTGTAGAAGTGAATCCAGAAATGTAACCCAATTACCTGTCCAGTAAAGCATACCACGTTCTCCACTGTTGCATGCTCTATATATTCCACTAAAATAAAAAAGCATCTTTTCCAATTAATTTCTTCTCTTGTTAAATAGTACAGTAATTAATGTTGATTGTGATAGTGAATGCTTTGGCAGATACAATTAGCTAAAGTATTTCTATCCATTATTATGACGTTTTGAATGAAACAGTAATGGTCGCTAGCTGTAAAGATGCATGAAAAGTATAAGTATCAAGTACAAGTAGTTTAAAAAAAGCTACAAAGTACAAATCTTTGAGCTGATTTAATAGAGTTGTCCAGCAAAAGGATATAATTACACGGCCATCGATAATATGATCGAGTAGAAAAGTTTCCTACATTTTCAGTTAAGCTGAATACTGAATTGCAAACATAAATAAATAATTGTCACTTTTTTAAATTAGCTAAATCTATCACCTTCTGTACCATAATTATAAATATAAATTCATATTGAGTAAGAGTGAATTCTAATCTCAGTAGTTAAATAACTAGTGAAGTCAGTGAAATCATTTATAATGAAATAAGAAACAAACCGAAATGCTTGACCATATTCATATCCACGAAGTAAGAACTCTTTATATGCATCTTCTGTGTCTAATTCAATACGTTCCGCAATTTCTGATGTTTGAATTTCGTCAAAACTTTTGTAGTAAAATGGTAAATCCTCATCAACAATACGAATATAACCGGATGCAGCCAGTTGTTCTCCATCCAGAATTTCAAAGTATCCATTGCCGGGCGTTATGACGACATCCAAACGAACTAAAAAGCGCAGGATGACTGACAAAAATGTTTCTAAAAAATTTTTTACATTTCCGGCCAAATTTATTTAAATTAGTAATTATAATGGCAATGATAATGAAAACATAATATTATTGTTGCAATGGAACTAATGGAAGAATATGTAACACTAACATGGTTTAGTGACGATTGTTGCACTATAAACTCGAATTTCTTCGAGAATGACAGGTGTTTTTTGGAAATCCACGCCATTTAACTTTGCTATCGTCTTCCATGCTAATACCATGTGCCCAGTAAAAGGATATAATACACGGCCATCAATAATATGGTCGAGTAGAAACGTTTCCTACATTTTTCATCTTATTTATAAACAGTGAAAAACATTATTAAAAATATTGCTTCAACATTTATACTAGTTTTCATAACTGGTGAGCAAAAAAGTATTACTAACAGCTGTGGAAAAATGACATTCGAATCATATGAGAAACACCAATGACAATATAGAAGATAACGAAAGACAATTCACCTTTGAATCAGATGCAAAAGGATCAATCGTATAACTAGATGCTGTAGGCACTTGTCCCCCACCGGCAGCTGAAAGTGATTTGCCATCAATAACGGGCCAATCTTGACTGTGGTCCCAGCGCCACATAGCAGAAATCATTGGAGTACCAATTGGCACTGGATATTGTACAGCAGGGTATAAAGCCTCGATATGTATAGTGACACCTGTTTGGTAAATTTTCCCCAAAGCCTGAAAAATATTTCAAAGTAAACAGAAATAAAAGACATGGATGCATGTCGCGGCTGTTAGCGCTATTGCCACAGGTATCAAACGTCTTACTTAAAACTTCCAAGTACAACTGAAATGACAAAATGAGCAATTTTTACTTGTAGGAATAATTCCAGCTCACGGTCCTTTTCTTTCATGTTCATCAAGCCTACATTTGTGCAAGTTTTGTGCAAGGAACGGCGAAGAATCGCATGCATCAAACAGTGAGGTGCAATTTCAATTGTTACTGCATTTGCAGGTATCTTCTGAAGCGCCTCAGAAAAAAGTACGGGGCTCAATATATTATTAGTATGGTAATCAGCAGAACACATTTGTGCCAATTCACTTTCCCAATTACTTTCTGGAATAGAAGTGGAAATCCAACGAGATGAGCGCGGCTTAGGGTTAGGAATGGTTGTGCGCATTGCTTTAAGCATTTTGTCTTTGACCTGAAATGAGCTAAAATTATAAATTCCATGTCAAAACAAGTGCCAATAAAATCATAGGAAATTATAAAACAATCACTTCGTCCATTTTTATTCTTATCCAGAGTTCCTCATTCTTCTGATTCAGTAGCAAGATTGAAAAAAAGTATTATCGGTTTTTAAATAATTCCTATGCAACAAGATCACTGATGAATCACTTTCAAAACTTCTATTATTTTTCCCATTTGGGCGAAAAAAAAAGATATTACTTTTAAAAAAACAAAAAACTTATAGCACCTTAACCATAGCTGGTGAATGAAATGGTATCCCAGATGAATCGACAATTTTTGCAAAAATATCTTCGCTTTTTAATTCTTCGATAAATTTTTCGATTTTTCCTGCATCACCCGAAATAGTTACAGAATCAATGGCATTATGACACGCTAGAAAAACCCCTTCTGGACATCGTTTTTTAGCATCTTCCCTAAATCTTATTTTTAGTAATCATTTTAAAATTTTTAATTAAATAAGATGAAGTCACAAAAACACTTGTTTTTTTGCGTGCATAAAACGTGAATATATATAGAATAGGATAGAATAAAATAGAATAGAATAGA